CGCTTCTATCGCACGGGTGCCGCAAGTCGACCAGCGCACCGGATGTTCAAACATCCTTTCGTTTGAACGTCTTCTCGAACGGGCACGGAAATACTTCGACACCCATGGTCGCGCGCCCCAGGATACCGCCGTTTTCATCCGCAGCGTCTTAGGGGGGGATCCTGCGCCTGACCCCACCACGGCGTACTGGGTCGGTCAGCTTTACAGGGATTACCGCGAGTGCCCTGTGTGCGCCGAACGCATCTAGAGGAGCGCCCAGCAGTACGCCCCTTCCTACCCGTCTCTGCGTTCTGCGTCTCGACGCTGACTATGTTTCGGAATGTAGCTGCGTATAATGCACTCATCTCAATCAGCTCTTATGCGGCTCCGAGTGTCGGCGAGTTCTCCAAAACCCATATGTGTACAATACTACCGTCTCGTCTCGCTCTCTTCAGGCACCGTGTTTGTCCGATCATCCTTACTAAGCTGAAAACCCCGCATGTGCACTTCACCCCCTGTTGAATCAATCGATCTCTCTTTGATACGTCTTCCATATGATCCTTAATCTTCCACCTCGGCCGCCTCGTATACGCGCCTCTTTTGATGCTCACGCCCTGGGATCGTGATGTCTACTTTTATCTGGTACTGTCCCCCGCCGTCGAACGACACTGTCCAAGTTATATAACAGGCTCAAGCCTTTCTTCCGTAGCCCTGTGCTCTGTCACATCTGTGTAACTTAGCGTGCGGTGATTTACTTTGGACACGCTGACTCGTAAAGTCGCAGCTTTCAAGGCAGGTTTCAGCTCCGCCTTGGACGCTGTGTGGGTGCCGGGTGTTCGGTTCACTCAGCAGCGGACCTAAGATGGAGTACGCTCAGGATATCTCCGCCGCCGACTGGACCTGTAAGTCCGCCAAAGACGATGTCGGCTTTGGCGGACGTCGAACTCCGCCAGAGACCACACTGGCTTTGGCGGACGATTCATAACATATCCAGTGCACCTTCTGTGTACAGAGAGACGCTCCGCGAGGCTCGGGAACCTGCCGGGCCGCATCTGCCATTACGCGCTGACAGTGTGCACTTTGCTGACGTGCCCTACCTCTCCCAGTTCTGTCCTGCTCCCACAACATAGCACGCATGTCCCAGGTGCGCTGTGAGATGATCTACACAATGTCTACCCGCTGACGGCTCTTTACCAGGTTACTGCGATGTCCGCTCGCGATGAAGACGCGGAGACGACTCCTGCTCCGCTCACGTACTACTGGAACACCTCAAATGCCTGCGACCTCGACGACTGCGTTGCACGCCTTCGCCGAGAGGTCTCTCTCCCGGACTCATCTGTTCGCTGCATCGGCTTTGACCTCCGGAACGTCAACCTCATTGTGCCGCACGCCGATATCCTGTTCCGTCTCAAAGGGCTGAGCTGCGCCGCATTGCTCTTCCACGGTCGTTTGGATCTTGGACCGCTGGAGGACGTCTTGGAACGCTCGACCTCTCTAACCACGCTCGCCCTCCGCTACCGGCCCCCGCCTGGTCTCCTTGCTCGCGCGGGGCTGTATCACCACCTAATTCACCACATCAAGTCTAAGACGTCGGGTTTCCCCATGCTGGACGATGTTACCACGCTCTTCCTGCGTGTCGACGGATACTGTCTCAACATTGTGAGGGCACTTCTACCCCCTGCCTATCGTGTCGCCCGCTGACTGTGTAACAGACCGACGTTACCGACACCATCCTCGCGTTTGGATCCCGTCGGCTGCTCCCCAGGCTGAGTGTTGTCCACATCTTTGACTCGCCGGGCGAACTTCCGGAAGGCGTCATACGAAAGTGGATAAAGAATTTACAACAGCTCATCCGCACCGCCGACAAGGAAGGACCCCGTTCCCTTGCTTGCATATCCTGGGGACGTTGGATAATCCACCGGGAGTATCATTACTGCAAGAGGGAGTATACCTTTGAGCGATGGGAGGTGCAGGACGAGGTGAACGCCCTTACTGAGGCTGGTCTTGGTGGGTTGTGGGGGCCGCTCCTTGAGACCATGTATTAGATGTCTATCTGATATGCCACTACCGTCCTGTACACGATGCAGGTATGCATTCTCAGACATAGGCAAGACATCTACCATATGTGACGTGGCAATGATGCACGCGACTTACTGCCCGCGTGCCAGCTGACTTCCCGCGCCGCGTTGTGTGCCAGCGCTTTGCTAGGCTCTCGCTCCTACCATCATGTCCGCTGTACAGCAGTCGAGCGCGGACTCTGCGTTCGACTTCGCGTGGCACGCTGGACAGCCTTTATATACTGTGACATGTACGTACCGTGGTCGATTTGACTTCCGGTAGTACTTCGGCTCACATGTCGTTCATCTTCTAGGGTACAAGTCCGGCACGCTGCAGCGGTACGATATCAAACGTGGCTCTATGTACGACTTTTGCTGCGTTTGCTCGCCATACGCTAACTCACCTTTTGAATTTATCAGTGTAGCGGTGTCCACCCAGGCTGCACGGTCATCCACCAATTCTCAGCAGTCATCTGTTGAGGCCGAGCGGTCGTCCGCCGAGGCTGAACAGCGCTCGACCCCAACGACACAGAACAAGTTTGTTTGCCTCGTCACCGACATACGATCGGTCCGCGGTCCCGGAAAGTCGTCAGTGAGTGATTCACATCTCTTAACTTTGTTGTGTTGCTGCTAGCTCACTCGCTGCTCAGATTTACTTGTTGGGGCAGAGGGTCGTTGACAGCACGCAATTCCGCTCTCTTCCAATCCACAAGGGGCTCTCTGCTGTGATCGCCCGCACGATAGGCCCCAAAGAGCTCGTCAACATCGGGTTCAAAATGCGGTTCACGCTCGACAACGTCCGGCACGTCCCCACTAATGTTACGGTCTTCAACTGTCAGACCATTTCCCTGCCTTACGTCTTGCTGCCCGGCTACATACTCCGTTCCTCCATTGCGTTCCACTTGGTGATGTCTGACAATTCATTGCGCTACGCCTGCCGCAATGTGAGCTCGTCAGTAGTCCGTCGCCGTCTCCAACTGACCGAGTCCCTTCGTAGTTAATCACCCTCATCTGCGGAAAATCCTGCCTGCATGGACGGGAGATGTACTCCCCAGACGTCCAGACAACCAGGTGGTGCGCGTCTTGCCAAACCTGGTTGCATGAGTCCTGCATGAGCATGGTTTCCCACTCATGGGGCCTACCTATCCCATCCTTCAACCTCGTTGAGACCCCAGATCTCCGGCTGATGTGGATCGCTCTGCAGTGGGCTCCCATTGTTCGACGCCCTCACCCCGACTTTCCGCCCCAATCCTTGGAGCTCCTCATCCGTGATGTCCGCGCAGAGAGCGTTCACAACCGTACTCCTCCGCAAAACATCTTGGGCTGGATGAAGGCGAAGAATCACCTCCTCCCCGTGGTCCAACTAGGCGGGTGGGTATACTATCGGTGCTCCCTCTGCACCCGCATAATATAATCCTGTGTAGTGTTGTCTTTGTTTTTGCTCGCTCTCTTGCATTGCTGTCGCTTGCTGTCTTAGGGTTAGGGTTAGGGTTAGGGTTAGGGTTAGGGTTAGGGTTAGGGTTAGGGTTAGGGTTAGGGTTAGGGTTAGGGTTAGGGTTAGGGTTAGGGTTAGGGTTAGGGTTAGGGTTAGGG